CCTTCCTTCCTTCCTTCCTTCCTTCCTTCCTTCCTTCCTTCCTTCCTTCCTTCCTTCCTACCTTCCTTCCTTCCTTCCTTCCTCCTGCAAAACTGACATGACTACAATGCAATGCCATCATTTTCTATTTATGAGGAAGGTCCAGATGTTCGGTGGGAGGGTTTTGCTCACTTGCTTCCCCGGAGGAATAACTACAGCTGAAGAGAGAGGTTTCGGTCCCTGCTGCTGCCCCTGAAGCCCAAGCTCTGCATTTCCTTCACAACGCAAACGAGTAACACTTACATGACTCGCGGGGAATTCTGTGGAGATGAATCCCATCCTCATCCATGTCGGGGCGGCTGAACTGAAAACTTGGTGCGGAGAAAGAGACGCTTCCTGAAATCTTTTCCTCCTCAGGCTGCCTCCCTTCTCCCCCGCCTGGCGCGTTTCATTCAAGGCAGCTCACGGCCGTATGGCAGGCGGGCAGCGAGCATAATTTGCGGGAAGCAGTTTACTAGCTCACGCTCGGGGATCCATTACCCCGAGACCGCCTTAGGGAGCGATGGGGCAGCGGGAAGATGGGGCGTTCCACCTCAGGAGGCGAAACCCCGCAAAGGGAGATTCTGCTGCTTCCCGGGCACGTGCGCGCGTGCAACGCACGTACGAGTAGAGCCTTATCGCCTGGGACCCGGACGTTTGAAACTGAGGCAGATCCCGAGAGAGGAGGAACCCCTAGGCGTAGACAAAAAGAAAGAGAGACGGGGAAGAATTGACTTTAAAACAGCAACGCCGCCGCCGCCGCCGCTACTGCGACCAAGGAGAATGGGAAAGAGCCAGCCCTCCACGTGACTTCTGCCGGCGAGGAAGAACAGCGGCCGCGAAACGGGGCGATCTTCCCCTTGGAAATGGGAGCAGAAGCCGGAGCTGCTGGTGCTTCAGTCGCTGCGGCTGGACTGCCGCCTTCCTCTTCATGGTTGCAAGCCATGCCCTTCTAGGACAGTCGCCAATGCAAACGTTGCGAACTCTTGCTTAAAGGAGGGCGGGAAAGAGGGTGGAGGCGGCAGCGCTGGCGGGCGTTTTTCTAGTATCACGAAACCCAGCCTCGGAGGACTCTAAACCCGCCGGTCCCCTCTAGCTGGAGGGCTCAGAGGCAACGCCTTTGGGTTCAACTTTGCCTAGTTTCGCCCGAGCCGCCGGGCTCTCTCCAAGTGCAGACGGTGGCCGCACGAAGTTTTGAGTGGCCGGGAGAGGGGGGACCCAACTCAGCCTTTTCTTTCCGTGCCAAAACTCTTCAGATGTGCAGGGCTGCTTTTAAAGTGTGCCCAAAGAAATCTCTTCCCCGTTCTACGCTGATAGTGAGTTTTGGGAAACTCCGTAAAGGCAAATGCCCTGAGGAACGTTTGCATTATTGGTTGCACGCTTCAGTTAGATGCACTCTGATCATCTGGGGAATGTCGGGGGAAAAAAACCCCAACATACTGAATCCTTCTTGCTGTTTTTTTCATACACTATAGTTTGGACTTACAGTCTCCTCCTCTTATTTAGCTTCCATTTACCTTGCTTTTAATTCTTTTGTGATTTTTTTTGTGTTAGATGTACGTACTTCTAGGCATCTGGTAGCAACCTTGGCTTCCTTGAATAAATGGGCTCACAGGATCCCAGTATGACTCATCTCTACTGATAGCTGCATGGACATTGGGCCAGAGAAGATGGCTTAAAAAGATTCCATGGACACCTAGAGGCTACAGTGCATAACACAGTAGCTGAGGGAATTTTTGATCCTTCTCCAGTCTCCCTGATGGAATGATTTGAGGAAATGAAAATGGCAGCTTCTGCCTGCAGCCACCCATTATTTCAGAGTTGCTCCTATCCCCATTGTGCAGTAAAGTTCATCCAGAGGATCCAGTGACATTGGAAGAGAGGAAACTTGAGGAACTTACTACTTTTCTCTCATAGGAACAAGGAATAGGCAAATTCTCATTTCCAACCAGAGCTTCTTCAGGACTCAGTATTGTGACATTAATAGATTTGAGAGAAATTGAAGGAAGGCACCTTCTCTCTAACAACATTGCACAGAACCAGACTACACAGATTAGATTTTTTTTCAGCATAATTCCCTTTAGATGCATTGATACAACAATTCCTGGAAATCTCAGCCAGCAAGAAAATCTATGGCTTGTAACCCCAACACATTTGGAGGAGGTTGTTGGAGAAGAATGAAATAGAACATCTTGCTCTTACAATAAACTCTGTTTGAATGGGCAGAGAACTATTGTGGACTATTTCAACATGTCTGAATGTATCTTGACTCTTCTATATAAGGGAGTTACACCCGTACATTTGCTAAAGTGACAGGTGAGTGCCTATCACCACTGACGTAGGAGGAACAAGACTCAAAATAGGGCAAAGGGTTATCACAGCATTTCAAACTCCCAGGACACTATAGCAGACCTCAAAGTGACTGTTTTGGAAAACTCCACTATTGAGTGAGAGGTTGCTGAACTGGCATACATCAAAAGTTTTCAGGCTATCTCAAAAGTTCTTAACAAACACAATAGGTTTTTAACACATTGTAGTTGTTAATTAATAAGGTACTTTAATCTGCATCTGCACAGCTAACCTGCTTTCCCCTTCCCCCTGCCTCTCCTCAGTTAAATCCTAGCATCAGTCTAGCCACTCTGTGCATCTGATGAAGTGAGGTGCAGCTCACAAAAGCTTATGCCTTTTCATAAAATGTGTGGAAAAGGTGCTACCAGACTCCAACTTCTGATTTTTTGTCATCACTAAGGTTTTTTTGTATGTTAAGCTAGCTTTTTGTTGTTCAGTCGTTAAGTCGTGTCCGACTCTTCGTGACCCCATGAACCATATT